TTACATGTTTACAACAACTACTCACTCCAGAACTTCAAAAGAAGACTGCGCCCTTCTTAGGGACTCATCGCATGAATTACGCCCCTCCAAGGACCAACCATGCTCTCTAGCGCCAGAAGGTAAACCAATTCCTCGACATCTATATGGGCTGTTCTCCAAGGTGGAAAGATAAACTTTACACTTCGAATATCCAGACATGGATGAGCCAGGCTGCCCTAGTATAACAAGGTGCACAATGGCTTACGTCGGGATTCCTAGAAATAGCCACATTGATATTTTGCAAAGCTTAGCTAACTGAAGGATTTTGGGTTTCTCGGCCTAATCAGTGGGGAACCAGGACCTAGAAACGGATGAGGCACATTACGCAGTACGTCTTATGGACAATTGCCCTGAAGATTGCTTACGGCTTACCCTTTAAGCAGTAAGTCGCGTAAAATTTATATAACTGCACGTTTCTATGAAAGGTTAAACAAGTTAGCGCTTATATATGAAGTTTCATCCATTGACGATATGTTACGCAGTCGATAAGCTTCATTTATGCCTAAACGCGAAACGATCTACACTAATTCCTGAAGTGTTGTGATACTTACTACGCAACCCACTGAATTGGTTACACATAGTTTGTTGTGATGCAGGCCACACAGCTCAAAAGATTGAAGAAAGCCAAAGTTAATAGCCAAGTGGTTACGCGGACTCGTCTACTTCTGTAAGTAAGACAACTGGCTGTCGACCCTATGGCTAACAACTTTACCAAAGTTCTACACTACCACTTACGGCCGTATAGGTTACGCAGGCCTGTCTGTTTATACAAAAGTAGCACGCCTGCTGCTGGTCTAAAAAGTCTAAGGTAAGGTGAGAACAAAAGAAATGAAGATGAAGAAAAACGAAGGTAACAAGTTTATTAAATTTTCTTGCAAATTTGATAAACAACTAGCAAAGGTGGAATGAGTTCAAGCAAAGAAAAAAGTAACAAGGGAAACAAAGAAAATCCTAAAGACTACCTAGAAGACTGCTCTTCAACAACTTGGACCACCCATGACTACTCAGTCACCACACCATCAGCAATCGCGACACTCTCAGCAGCTGCATTATCCGGCGCTTCACCCTCGGCTGTTCTAGTCTGGGCACCAGCTTCTCCAGCTACTTCACCAATGGAAGCCTCGAAAGTAAAGATGAGCAAGTCTTCCGGAGAAATTGAGAAGGTCTCGAAGTCTTTACCAGCAATCTCAAAGTCAAACGGCCTACCAAAGAGATGGTCTACATCACCCAACTTTAGAAATCGGCTTGACTCTGAATAAGCAAAACCTCGAACCCAACCTTTTCACCATTTGACTATTCATTCTCCTCGAGCAGCCCAACATGGACACGCTGCAACTCATCCACTTCCTTCTTCAGACTTTCGTTGATCTTCAAGGCATCTTGAAGTTTCAACACTTTGGATTCGAGCTTATCAACTACCTTCTTGAAATGGATCACTTTATTATAAGCAGAAATCAACTTTTCATCATTTGCGTAAGCAACGGAGTGAAGCATAGAGACGGCATACTCAAGGTCTTGAATATGAGGTATGTAACATCCAATCTCCCTCTCTGCACTTTCATACTTAATTTGGATCGCGTCAAGCCTAGTCTTCAAATCCACGATCTATTGGAAAGCGGTCTCAAACTGCAGAAAAGTGGGGGCAGAGATATTAGACCCCTTCAAAACACCAAGCTTAGATTCCAACATCTTGATCTTCTTGGCCAAAGAATAAGCTTCGACTGCCATGGTCTTTGCTACCCCCTTGGCAGCCTTGGTATTCACTTGGTCAAGGATTATCGACTCGGCTGCCAGGATCACCGTTTTCTGCATCATAGCAAGCAGAGCAGTCCTTCTATACTTGGTGGTATGCTTCGCAAAGGAACTTGGCAGATAACCCCTTTAATGCCATCAACAAACTTGGCACATTTATCCATGTCTTCAAGCAGACTTGGTTTCAAGAGCGCGTAAATCTCAACAACTTCCCCAGAAACAGGCTTAGTGGATTTTTCACAACTGCCCACGCAAGCAGCCTCATTCTTCTCAACAGGCGAATCAGTCTCAGCAGCAAAAGGAGTGTGTTTTGGCAACACTTTAGCAGCAGAGTCCATCTTATCGTTCTTCATAATAGCAAGTCTCTTCAAGGGTGAACCAGACTTAATCCTTGATGGACGTTTCGGCATAAACTTTGACACTGGGGCACGGCTAAGCTTCTACACTGAGCAATCCTATCAGCAATCAAACTAACCACCTTTGGAATGGCAGACGTCACAGTCACGCATCTAGCAGCATCATCTTTCTCACCCTTAGAAGAAGTCAAGTCAATCACAAGCCTGGGGGCAGCCGGCGAGCCCTCGCGAGCAGGGGAAGAAGTCTTTGGCTTTTTCTCAGCCAACATCTCTTGAGCAGGCGGGGAAGATCTCTTTTCCCACCGTCATTTGCAGCAGGCTCCACGATGGTTATTGGACAAGCTAGTGTCTCCACCTTATTTGTTTTATCTCATCTCTCGAGGGCAACCCACATTTCCCCAGTAAAGAGGACTAAGCAGCGAACGCCACTTATGGTACTCAGAAAGGATACCTAATGCAACATGTACCTTCTTCATATCTGGGGAAGTCTTAGGAGTCAAGCTGAATTCTGAATCTACAAAAGTAGAGGAAGACAATTAGTAAAGCAACTTAGCAAAAGTATAAAGCAGCAGAGTGACTAAGCAGTCTACTTACTAAAAATGAAAGCCATCAGAACATGCAGCTTGGGAGAAGAATAGACTCTCATTCTCAACTTAACTCCAAAGTCTCCTTGGCCTAGTCATGATCTCCCTTGCTCTAGTAGTCAAAGAGTCTATGGCGAGAGCGCAACTGCCCAAATCCCTCAATGTGGTTTATGTCAAAGAAGTACCAAAACTCATTGACGGATAAATCCAAATCAAAGAATTAGCTTTAGATTGAGGAACCCTACCATCACACGGACAACATTGGGAGAACATAGAGCAGGGACACACTTCATAGAGCAAAGCACCTCTTAGAAGAAACGTAACATAGGATAAGTAAATCTCAACACGAAGTAATAAAAGAGGAACTTGATGACTCTTCGAGCCCCACTACATGGTTCATAGCTGCTACTTTCCTTGATGCGTTTCACACACACCCCTGATGGAATGGTATGCTTATATGCTTCAAGGAAATCTCTAAACAAGTCGTCGGAACTAATTTTGAAGTGAGCAGCATTGAAATAGCCCACCTTACTCGAAGACCTGCCTTGGCGATACAACAACGGTACACCATCGTCCCCCTTATGGCTTAAAGAAGACATGCTCGAAGAAATTCTACTAAGGTGCAAAGAAAATTGATTAGACGGCTACACAAAAAAAAAATGCACTAGGGCCTTACAGCCCAAAGATTAAGTCACGTCCAAGACCGCAAGAGCCCAGTAGCAATGCCAGCCCCTACGGCTTGGTCCATCCTACTCAGCCCAAAAGGCACCGCGACCCAAGACAGCAAAGAAAAGGGCAAGCACAAGGGGCCCAAATGTGTCTCTCTCTTCCTCCTATATCAGTACAGGCTCGAGCCCAGCGTTACAAAAAAAAATAAAAAATGAGGCATGCGCTTCTTCGGCCCAACCACCACGCCGGCATGGGCCCAAGCCTAGCAGGCCATTCCAAACAGGGGGGACTGGTGCCCCCACACCTCCCTTCCTCTCTCCTTTCCCGCACAGGCCCAAGCCTAGTGGCCCAGACCACAACACCCGTCAACTCGGTCCCAGCTAAGCCGCACCTGGCCTAGCTAGCCATCGTCGCGCCAAGCACTCTATGGCAACAACCATGTCGTGGCATTCCAACCAATTTTTCACACTTCTCGACCCTCGTCGAGCCAAATTTCAAGTCCCGAGGCTCCCAAAAATTACGAAGACAAGGAAAAAATAATTTTTTCTTACCTTTGTACGGCGTGAAGATGAAGAAAACAACGAAAGATAGTCATTTGCACGAGCAAGTGTGAACAATTGCTAGGGGAGGGGGAAAATATCCTCTAGCTTTTTCTCTCTTGTAGGGTAAAATAAATTGCTCTCTAAAGTTGATTTAATAATCTACTTTAGGTAGACTTAAATAGACTTGGATCTAATTTCCAATTAAAGAGAGAATCTACATTGAAATAGGAAACAATCCTATGTTTCCTAAAACAAGAAGATCTTCACACCTGCTACCCTTTCCTAGGAGTAGCCTAACAGGTGTGAGGGCATTTGTGGAGCAAAAAATTAATCAAGAAAATTATAGAGGCAGCACGTGGACTTTTGGGGTAAAAAGGTAAAATTACCCTTGAGGTACATCGGGATTCCCATGCGCATGCAACGGACAATAACAGCTTGATCAAGGTCAAAAGTGATCGAAATTGTATTCTTTTAAACTCTCTCATCATTCCTCATCAAATCTTCACCCATAAGGTAACTCCTAATTATCCTTTTCAAATTGGGATTAATTACCAAAATTAATTGATTGCAAGATATTATTTGACATAATATCTTGCAATTAGAGTAAAAAAAAACCACCATAAGTGGCCCTTCCCCATTTCTCCAAATAGGCCCGGCCACACCCTTATATATAGCCCCTCATTTCTCGAAAAACCTAAGTCCAATTCTCTTCTAAATTTCTCTAAATTTCTCTAAACACTTCTCCCACATATTCTAACTTTGGCATCGGAGATTCTTCGGCTAAAACCCTCCCCCATTCATCGTGGGCGCATGAGGCTTTTGACCTCGATCATAGGTGTTAATTGTTTTGCAGGTGCATTTTCGTCCAAGAAGAAGAATGCGGAAATTTGCACCCACAATACCAATTATATTGACACGTTTTAAGACAGTCACCAAAAGATTAATTGTTGACATCTGGTCTTGTGTCGCTAATTAGGTGATGACTGGGTTTTGTAGTTAGTATTTTGGGCTTTAGTCTGCTTTACGCGAAAAGCTAAGTACAAATACTACAAAGAAACAGTACAAGTAACAAGCTTAAAGGACAACAGATTATATATGTAACTTATCTATTAAACAATGACAGATATTGTTTTACCCATCAATAATTCACAATGAAGAAGAGATGAATGCTCAACTCTCTTCATAAAAAAGTACTCTTCTTCCTTAGTTCATTTTGTGGCAATTTGTTCTTATTTCTCCTTTGGAACCTTCCTTGACATCAAGGGTGCTCATTTTCACCATTGCCTGTTGAAAATCTAAGAAGAACATGGCTTGGTTGAAGGCATAACCATTTACAATGTTTCTAGTTTTTGCACTGGCAAATAGGGTTTGATCAGAAGTCAGGACTCCAGCCTTCCTTTGCAGTCCGTTGAAGTAGACATTATCAAAATTGTTTCTCGTTGCATCGAAGGGTTGCTCGGCGTTATCGCCTGTGCTGCATGTTTTGGTCAGTTGCTTTGCAAAACCTGAATCTAAATCTGGATCCACAGTATCACTCAATCGGTTTTTGAATGACGAGCACCTGGCTACACCTAGTGTGTGCGCACCTACAAAGTACCAAAAATATCAACGTAAGTATACAAGCATTAAACTTAAATGCTCTCTAAAATGACAATCTAACCGTCAATTTGAACTATTAATTGGGTAGAAATTGAAGGACACTATTGGCTAAGTAACATTTTAACTAATCCAAAAAAGAAAGAAAAACGCACCAATTGACAATTTTACAATTTAACAATATAACATATCAAGAAAATAACACCGAAACTTGTAGATTGTAAATTGGATCATATATGTGTACCAGATAAAGCAACCATTTCTTGAGCAGTAAATCCATGTTGCCCAAACATTGTAATGAGCTCAGAGGCATTCAAAGTGGGCGGAGGCAGATTCCTTGTGTCTTCTATTTTAGACCTCCTTCCATCCTTTCTTCCTTTGGGTATGTCATAAACCGGGCCCCCAGCCTGTTGTTAGTGAAGTCCCATTAAAAACAAAACTTAAATTTAATCATTTTTTGAAAATATTAGGATTTTTATCACAAATGGGGTTTTATGTATTGTAAATACATTTTGGTCTTGTATGTTTTGAATCAAACAATCAATTGTGGTCTTTTAGTGTTTGAAAACGTGGATGATGATATTGATTGATTCAAACATAAAAGACCAAAATTATGTATTTGCAACGCATAAAGACCATTTGTAATAACAATCTAAAATAATAATAACTAGCATTTGCCTACACACTATGTGTGTATGAACACATTTTTTTAGAAAATGAGGAGAGAGGGAGAGAGAAAGAGAGAACGTGGGGGCTGGGAGGTTTTTGTTTTTTTTTTTTTTTTTTTTAATTTTAAATATTAGAGACATTTTAACATCACATGTAGGTGAGGTTTCAACAAAAAATAGTAAAATTTGGACCTGTGAAATTACATTATTGCCCATCATTTTTTTTTTTTTTTTTGTGATAGAAGACTAAGTTGTCTTTTCACCCTCTTTTGGTTGACAAAGAGGATTTCATTAACTAATAGAGATAATAATAATAATAATAATAAATTGAGGAATATGCATGAATAACATAGTGCAAGTGATGAATGAGAGGTGACTTTCTTCTATACACTTAATATATATATATATATATATATATAGTGGGATAGAATCAAGGGACAAATACTTTTATACTCCTTGTTAGTCTTTAGATCTATTTGAATCCAATGATCCTAAATAAAACTAATATGACTCATATAAACTACTAAATGATGTGGAGTTGATGAAATGGAAATAAAAAGGCTTTAATCAATTAAAAATATTTAAGAAAAAATTATTAGGTTATGGAAACTTAAACACTTTGGAGCCTCCATCTTCATCTAACTCCCTATGCCATTGTTAATTAAGATGACAAGAACTCAATCATGCATGGATATATCAATCTCGCTCCATACAACCTAACTGACTTTTTCACTTTCCTCTTCCTATTCTCTCCCCTCTTTCGAATCCTACATTATCAATACTATGTTTGCATGGGTTGTCTGTAAATGATGGGAAGGTATAAAAAGTGGGCTGAATAAGATAGATTTAGAACTCTCGCCCTGTTAAATTTTATTTTTTTTCTTTTTCTGTTTGGTTCAATCACTGAAGATCCCCAGTTTCGTGCCCAGAATTTGAGTCTGGATATAGCCAGGGAAACAAAATTGAATCTTCCTGGAAAGGGATGAGGTTTTAACCCTAAAATTGATTTACATCAAATTTCTTAAGTATGTCCTTGATTGACAAGAAAGCTTTTTAATGGCTGGTTATTCCATAATATAAACAAAAGAACTAATCAGACTCAGCAACAATTTTTATTTGATGCACAACACAATGGCATGAAGGAAGATGGTGTTCGCCAAGGAAGGTGAATGGTTTAGGTACAACGGGACTTTTTTCAAAACATTTTAAATTTGTAGTAGAGGTTTATATTAATTAATTCCAAGCCATCGCCACATCACCTACTAAATTAATGACAATAATCTTAACTTTTAATTATGACCATTAGATTAAAAAAGATCCAAGGGCTAATAAGGAGTGTAAGGATATTTGTAAAAATATTTGTCTCTTGATCTATCCCATAATATATATATATATAGGTGTGCAAATCATTTCTCCTACTTACCGCAAAAACTGCATATGTAGAAGCCATTGCAACTATGTCGGCGCAAGAGACCACGCCAGGGCATTTTTTTTCAAGTTCCGCTTTTGCAGCATCTATAACTTCATAGCCACGCAAGCTCAAATTTGCTGGAGAGTCCTTTTCTGCTGTGTTATCTTTTGTTGAATCCAGGAGAATTGACGCATCACATCCCTAATTATCCAATAGTTACAAAACCAAAATTCTAATATTAATTAATAACGAATATATGTAGTGATCGAATCCCTAACAAAGTTTCTTTAACGTGAATACTTGACCATACACAAGGAAAAAAATATATATATTTTTCTATTTAGGTGGGTGTGTAACGTGTGATGATATGCTGATTGAAAAGTGCATGATATGTGAATAACAAGGGAACGAGTGAAGATGTAACACACAGCACTTCTTACAAACAACAAAAAAGAAAAGGTCAGGGTTTTGTATAATCATTTCGTTTCTAATTTCATATGCATTTCATCTTGTCTACTTCTTTCATATATTTTCAAGTACAAAAGGCTACGTAAAAACTACAAACTAAAGCTGAAATCATCGTAAACAGCTTTAAGATACCAAATGGAAGGACACATTTGAAAATATCTTTGGTACGTAATAGCAACTGAAAACACAAACACGAAAGCATTGTGAATATGTATGTCTGCATTATTTTATACCATGCAGACATATTTGCATAGTGATCTCGCCACACCAAGCCTATCGTTGTGCCTACCTCTAATTAAAAAACTTTCTTAAAAAAATTTAAAATAATGAGAAAGGAGGTATTGCTGTTGTGTGTTTACAGAGAGAGAGAGAGAGAGAGAGAGAGAGAGAGAGAGAGCACCTCTATGAAGCAGTCATGGAAGTGCATTCTGATTAGACCTGCAGCTAAGGTTGGATCAGCTTGCAAGGCCCTGGTGACTGTATTTCTCACAATAAGTTCAGCCATCGGGCAGCTCATAATGTAATAGCCCATACTCAAACCCTTTGCTCGAAATACGAAGCCACTCATCATTTGCAATAGTAGAAACACTACAAACAGCTTAGCAATAACCATCTTGGATAAATCTAAGGGGAAGATCTTGAATTCAAATAGTGGTGAGAGGAAATAACTAACAAGGTATATAATAGAAGGCTCAAGAAAGGAGGAGTAATTGTTAGAATGAAGAGTGAAGGCAATGTGGATTTATATAGGTGCAATTTAATGCTTCAACAAAAGTTGCCGCCCCAAACTAAACGGAAAAAACAAAAAGTTGAAGAGACTGTGCTTTATGATCAATATTAGTTAAATTACTCTTCTAATTCATAAGGAGGGGATCTGAAGTTGGGAATAAAAAAAGATATACACTACTCTGATCAATTGGTCTAATTCACAATTGCAAAAGTTACCACCCCAATCTTAGAGGAAAAAGACAAGTTGAAGACGACAGTGGTTTATGATCAATTTTAAACTACTCTTTTAATTTATAAGTGGATTCAAAGTTGGGTGTAAAAGAAGAGACACACTGTTCTAACCAACTGGTCTAATTTTCCTCTGCAAAGTAGAGTTCCCAATTTTAGAAGAAAAAAAGATAAGTTGAAGATGACAATGGTTTATGATCAATTATGCACCTAATCAATCTAATGGTCAAATCCAATACAAGAATTTTAATATAATTAATGCATGCTAATTGCAAATAGTTCGACTCGTAAATAATGCACCATGGGGCACTAAACCAATTTTATAGCCAAATCATGCATGCAAGTAGTTGCCACACTGAAATCGAAAGACGATAAAGATCACACAAAAAATTGAAATGCGGTTAATTAATAATCATATCTAAAAACATATGAGGTTAATTCTAAGAGTTGTTTTTTGAAATTTTCATGGATATAATGGATTAATATAACTATGGGGTGGGCATGGAAGTCAAATGTCAAAACGAAAGTGCGGAGGTGAAGTGTATGCACTATATATATATGTAGGCCACGACCAGAAAACGTCATGTACAGGCATGTATATATGTAGATCAGCTGGCTTCCATTGCAAAAGGAGCCTACCTACTCTCAGGGTCCATGTCTTTTTGTGAGAAGTGGGGGGAAGACTTATTTGGCCAAAGAAGATATCAATTTACGCGTGCAGATCAGCAGGTTAACATCAGTGTCATAACATGTTCAATTCATTTGGTTGTGGTACCATATTCTACACATGTGTGGAGATGGGGATTTGCTTTTACTTCAAGGAAGTGATATGTGTTAAAAACTTGATTATTGGGTACTTTTATATCATATATACTACTCATCTCTATTCATGAGATATAGAGAGAGAGATACAAAGGTTATACTACAAAGTCAACAAACATATTTTTAATTAATTGCATGCTAATTGCCATCTTCAAACTTGCAAAATTAGTTGTAAACCCGCTATAGAAATAACCTTAGCCACTCTACAAACCATGGACAACTAATAAAAGTCTTGGACATTTTTTAGCTCTCAAAAGTATAATTTTTAAAGGATTAGTAATAGACTAATTTTTCCGTTCTATGGAGGGTTAAATCTTTGCCCGTCTATATTTTTATTACTTTATAGTATGCTCAAGTGGAAAAGGATTATCACCGGATCTTTTTCTTGGGGATCTCGTGATCGTGGCCGTTTATCATACATCATGTGGTCAGTTTTCGTTAGGTACCATTTATATTAAATTTTAAATTTTAAATTTCAAATGATTTCTGACTGCACGATGTACGATGAACGGTCACAATCATGGGATCAGATCCTTTTCCTACTCAAGTACCTCTTGACCATGTCATCAAAACCTAAGTATGGGGCGGGCACATTTTAGCCCTTTAGGGGCTAACTTGAGCCCCTAAAATAAGCCCGTTTGCAAAATGATCTTTGGTTAATTGGAGATTGTTTTGTTCAAGTTTGGAGCTAATTTTGGCCAAAAGCACTTGATTAGAGATGCCATTAGCAACTATGCCTTCCGGTTCGTATTCAATCTTTACAAGTAGAAAACTGATTTTCCAAGAAACTAGGTTGCCTACGACAAGCGTTAAGTATGGACATGTAGGCTTTCTGTCAGTAATAGATATAGCTTAGTCATCGTCAGTTATACTCTTCCAATGTTAAGTGAACATTAATCTCTGTCTGGGAGCAAAGTGCCAGTGACTCCTAGTATGAATTACAACGATCGATCATATATGATCTTCAGTTCATGCATGCATCAATTGATTTACTACAATTCAAACATAGTTAATATGTGTTCAAGTAAGCAATAAATAAGTTCCAAAAATTCGCCCATATACCTCCTTACTATTGGTTGGAACCTGATAGGTAATCACTTAGCTTGTGATTTTGTATAATAGGTGTATCAGCCCATTTGCAGCAAACATCTATGTCTCGATCAACAAACATCCATGTCTCGATCAACAAACCTAATAATACATATATACATTCTTTGAAAATGAAAAATCATTTTGTCTTGATTAGGAAATTAACTTCATTCTCTAACACGCAAGTAGGTCTTTCATCTCAAATTTCTTTTTGACATAGTTTTGTAGTCACTCTCTTCATCCAAATCATTGTATGTAACAACCATATCATTCACATACACAATTTAGACGTAATTTTACCATGCTTATGCTTAAAAATAAAAAAATAAAAAATACATGGTCTGAGTCACTTTGTTGGTACATAAACACAATAACTTCTTTTTGTTTTTTGAACGCAACGAAAGTTTCATTGATAATAAAGGAACAGATAACAAATCAAGAAGGCAACACACTGCCACCATCAGTACATTCCGAATGAAGAGAAGACGAAATGAAATCAGGAGGCTCCTCAAACCATGAACAAGAGGCAGTATCCATATTGAGAGCACATGAATGGTATTAATCTTGGCATCTGGTGTGAATACTCTCCTAACATCTAGTTAACTTCATAGGTTTGGTCTACCCCTTTTGCTACCTGCCTTGAACATAGCTGTATAAATTCATCAACGTCCGACTGTGCTATTCTTAATTACCATTATGTATAATTAATTACTACAATATACGCACCGATCAAAGAGTCAAACTGATGAACAAATATTCAGAAATTCATGAACAAAGGTTGAATTGTGTGCATTAACTCTTATTGAACAGTTTGTAATGCAGACAACTACAAAGAATATCGTAAAGTACAATTCCATGTCAACTAACAGGCACGTAGCTTCAACTATGGTGTCTGTTACAAAGAAAAAAGAATTAAACAATTTGGAAATAGTAATTAAAATCGTTGTATACAAAATTTACTTTATTGCAGTATGAGTTAACTAAAGTAATCAAGGATCATCAGTTCATGTTATGATGATAACTTCATTATTTAGCGTGAGTCGTAATTATAAACGAATGGAGTTTTTAGACGCTGCATAGAATGCCTTTAGTTCTCAGTCTCCCTCAGGCTGTTGATTACAATGTCTGCAGCAGTTGTTACAAAATCTGCCATGTTCCTATATAACCCAAGAGAAACCGCAAGGAAATTCAGTAAGAAAATCAAAAGGGATTAATTGTTGAAGCATTTGCAGATGTACTTTTTCGTTATACTACGTTGGCTACCTAATATTTTTTGAAAACTCAAGAAAGCAGTTTCACTTTTTTGTTTTCAACTTTTGGTTAAAAATGAAAACTGAAAGTAGTTATTCCAAGCACGTTTTTAGTTTTCAGTTAAAAAAAACAACTGAGAATAAAAACTGAAAACGAAGTGGTTATCAAACAGCCTCTTCAGTGTTAGAAAAATGAAAACTGGAAAGTGAAAACAACTTTCTTGAGTTCTCATATTTGGCTTTCAATTCTCAATTTTCATTTTTTGTTTTAAATAAAAATAGTTACCAAACTAGTTTTCAATTAAAAAAAAAAAAAAAAACTGAAAACTAAAAACGAAATAGTTATCAAACAGCAAATAGTATGTATTGGTAGTCTATATAAACCTAAAGGGAAAAAATGAATATAGATTCGTCGATCTTACCCTTTTGAGGAGTTGTATGTCAACCCTACGGTATTCCTAGCCTCTTGAAGAGCCAACCTAAAACTTTGTAGCTTCTCCGGCGGACATTGCCCGTTGTCCACGACACGAAGCTGAGAGGGCTTGATGTCACAGAATATAGGAATGACCTTCTTATTGGACTCCATGATTAGGGCCAGTTCATGAAGGCAAAAATACGAGTCACAATAGCGAGGCGAAAACACAGCAACACCAACCTTGCAGCCCCTTATTGCACTATCAATTTTATCAAATAGTTTATCTCCAGGCCTCATGGTCCTATTATCTAAGAAAGGGCGCAAGTTGAGTCGAGAAAGGTGGTCGTAAAGCAAAGAGACGATTGTTCTCTTGGTGTCGATTCCTCTATGGTTAAGAAACACATCGCAAGATTTCGTGGCGCGTTCGGCCAATTGGGTTTGCTTTTGGAAGCTGAATAGATTGTGCTTCAAGCTAATGGCTGATGAACGATGCATGGTTTTTTATATGGAACCCTAGTTTTTCTTTTTCTGCCTTGTTCTTTAACTCTGTTTAATAATGAGAATTGTGCTTATCAGATGTTCTTTGAATACGAACGGCTTTAAATAGAGCCTCCGAAGCCTCTATTTTTCAAGTTCTTTAGAATGGAATGTGTTACTGTTCAAATTGATTTTGACAAAACTGATAAAGTGTGAAAAAAAACTAAAGATTTGACCAGCATTAAGCAAATAGATTCTGGAAATAAATGGGAACCCTTCAAACACGTTGAAGGTCCCTCTATATAGCATGCATTGGGGCATTTTCTTGACGAATTTAAAATTAATGTTCTATTTTTTCCACCAAATGTCGAGGACCAAATATATATAAAATGCACGTGAAACTTATTCAGCGAATTTCATTGTCAGTTCTTTCTCCTTTGAATTCTACACAAATTCAAAGTAACTTCTTGTCTGTATACTTCAATTAATATTATTTTTACCACAAAAGGAACACACTAATATGTACACATATGCTGATCAAATTTACTTTTATTGAACGTTTTACAAACCATCAAAAGGGTTTCTTTGACTGTTTGAACAATATACAAGTCGTGAATTAAAAGAAGGTCTCCTCCTTGCATACACACACATACAATAAGCTCTAACAAGTTAGTAACTTATTATGAAAATAGTAACTTGTTGGAGCCACTTCATAAAACATCTTATAATCTGAACACTTCACTTTTTATATTATACGGAAATATCAATCCTAGAAAAATTCATTAAAATTAGAAGTCATTTAGTTATCTAATCGTTATTTAATAAGTGGACAAACACATTGTTATGAAATATGCAAAATAATAACCAAAGCACCAAATCATTTGTAATTTGACTGGTTTTTTGGAAAAATATTCTATGAGGACCTAAATAATGAAAGGATCCGTTCACGTGATTACATTGTGGAGTGAGCCTAGATGAATTATTAGTAGTTAGTATTGTATTCAACTGCTAATTGGTTAACGCATGAGCACTCATGTGTGTATAGTTCAATATGTGTAGCACCCCCCTTCTTAGGAGGTACCTCTTTTGAAGAATAGTTGAAATGGATTCATTGGTCAAGGCACTCCGTGTTAGATTTCAATAATCCAAACTGTCTAGATTTTAGATCCTTGTCTAATTATCATCCTTACAACAACAAAAGAAACCGTTGATATCCAATCTTTGAATGAGGCCTCTTAATTGAATGGTTAGGATCATTGGATTGCATTGATGTTGGGCCCCCATGCAATGGCAAAGTTACAATTTTATAACAATAGAGTCAAATTAAATATGCTTACAAAACTGATCATTCTTTCATTTATATATACATGATGTCTTCTCGTGTATTAGAAACCTTGTATTACACCAAGGGAAAGGCGAGAAAAACTACTAATACTGTTTGAAGTTTTGAACCATAAAATGACCAAGTTTGGGATAAAACCCTTTACTTTTGGAGCCCATCGTTCTAAGTTGGTTTTGATCAATATTTGGGTGATAGTCTTATGGCCTAAGGATGACTATGGGGCAAACTTGTCTTGGAGTGGTGAAAAAGCATGTGGTTGTAAGGCATTTTTTATTGTAGACCACAAATGAAGATATTTTGAAGATGAGTGAAGGCTAGGGTTTGCTAGAGCACTTCATATAGAAGAGCACAAGGAGAAAGAGAAAGGGACATTCAACCAAACAAACAAACAAATTTCTCAAAAACCAACGGAGTAAATCTCTTCATTCAAAGCTTTATTCATGTCACATCCCGGCCCGGGGCGGAACCACTTCCCGGGCCCGCTCCACCACCGTAGCACGATATTGTCCGCTTTGGGCTTACCATTCCCTCACGGTTTTGTTTTTGGGAACTCACGAGCAACTTCCCAGTGGGTCACCCATTATGGGATTGCTCTAGCCCCCTTTTCGCTTAACTTCGGAGTTCCTACGGAACCTGAAGCCAGTGAGCTCCCAAAAGGCCTCGTGCTAGGTAGAGATGTGAATATACATTTAAGGATCACTTCCTTGTGCGATGTGGGATGTTACAATCCACCCCCCTTAGGGGCCCGACGTCCTCGTCGGCACACACGCGGCCAGGGTTAGGCTCTGATACCAATTTGTCACATCCCGGCCCAGGGCGGAACCACTTCCCGGGCCCGCTCCACCACCGTAGCACGATATTGTCCGCTTTGGGCTTACCATTCCCTCACGGTTTTGTTTTTGGGAACTCACGAGCAACTTCCCAGTGGGTCACCCATCATAGGATTGCTCTAGCCCCCTTCTCGCTTAACTTCGGAGTTCCTACGGAACCCGAAGCCAGTGAGCTGCCAAAATGCCTCGTGCTAGGTAGAGATGTGAATATACATTTAAGGATCACTTCCCTGGGCGATGTGGGATGTTACAATTCAATCAAGCAAGCTCTCTCATCTCTTTCAGAGTCAAAGCTTTATAATTGTACAAGCATTCTCTTTATGAATCACTCTTGTAATAGCTTTGTTATATTAGAGTGAATCTTTCTTTGAATCACTATTGTCATTTCAATACAAGCATTTAAGCAAATTTTCTCTCTTTTAGTGTCAAGGCTTCAACTACAAGTGTCATGTTAACTCACCATTGACATATCCTTAGCATTTAAGGCTGAAAAAGAATTAAGTTGAGCTTTCCCTCTCAATGACGCAATCCTTTGGTTGAAATAAGAGTAATTTTTCTCACACACATGCGCACCCTTTACTAGCTACAACTAGTAGTGGTACGCTCGTAATCTCTAAATTTCATGTTCATGTAAGTTCCTAACAAACACACAGGACCATGAAGAATTTAGGGGGTGAACAAATACACACACACACACACAGAAGAAGAAGGATGAGCTTGGGGTGGGGTAGACTGGACTATAAATGCTAAAACTCATCTGCTCATCTACAAAACATTGCTTCATGGACTGGTTATAGTACAAGTCAACTAATAAACTAATAATGTAGCAATCTTCAGCTTCTCATTAAATGTCCTTCATTGAGTTGGGAGTCTCTTAGGTTTCCATTAGATGCAAATTTTGGACAGCTGATTTGATGAGGGTGTCTGCCAAAGGGTCTTCAATGCCAAAGTCAGAAAAGTAGTAGAGAGAAAAAGAGAACTTGAGAGAGTTTTGAGTAGTAAGTGGCGATTATCGTTTCCTCTGTTTGACTTAGCTATTTATTGGGGGGGGGGGGGGAACCCTAACAGGCATTTGGAGGAAAACTGCAGAGAATACTAGGTAGTCTTTCCAGCTAGTAGTCCTGAAAGTTCATGTTGGTAAGAGCGCATGATGCGCCAGTTAAAACCGACGTGAGCCTAACAGACTTGACTGTGATTGCAAGTGGCGTCGAAGTAAGTAAAGGTTGCGTCAAAATAAGAGGTTGCGTCTGTTAAAACCGACGCCACCTCAGACACTGACAGAAAATCCTCTTCCTAATCCATTTCGTGTGTAAAAAAAGCGGAAAAATTCCCACCCAAAATATTTCAATTTAACCAACACAGATGACAAATGTCGTCAACTAAAAGCTACAGGAAACAAGCTTAAAAAAAATTAAAAAAAAAAAAAAAAAAGTTTAACCCAAAGTTAAAAAATAAGCAGCTACTTTTTTTTTATGTTATCTCATATAATATTTTAATAAATAAAATTTAACTTATATATAATACGTAATAAAAAAAATAATAATAATATAATTTAATGATAAAATATCATCACACACGAATTGAAACCTGAATTATGGAAGAATTCCGTTGTCGATCAATTCTTTATGTACTCAACCAGCTCAAATAAATTCCCTACAAAAATAAATTGTAAATAAAAATTAAACATAAGAGGAGAAAATAAAAATGTTAGAAGCAAGAAAAACTTACTGTGGTGAAGAAGGAATTAATGAAGTTGGAAGAACAAATAAGAAAGATGTGAGAGAGGAAGAAGAAAACATGGGGGAGGGTTTATAAATTGGAAGAACAAATAAGAAAGATGCAAGAAAGGAAGAAGAAAACACGGGGGAGACTATATAAAGGCCATCAATCTGTCGTTTACAACCGACACCGGGTTTCAAAATATTTTTAAAAAAAATTAAAATTTATGTCGGACAGAACCGACGCAGGCTTTAAAATATTTAAAAAAATCATTAGTGTCGGCTAGAAGTGACACCTATTCCGACACCAACTTTATGTCGCTTAAAAGCGACACGGTTTTTTTTTTAATACGACACCAGTATTTAAAAATTATTAAAATCTATGTCGGTTAAAAACGACATTAACTTTTACGTCGATTAAAAGCGACATAGATTGTTTATGATGCTTACAACCGACAGTAAATTCGACATCATGTTTAGTAGGTGTTGCAAATGTCTTGTCCGCCACTATATTATATAAAACCGACATCACCCACTAACAAAATAAGGTCCTTTTGTAGTACCCAAAAAAAAATTATGGAGAGCCGGTGTCGTGCCACCATTGGGCCGGATATGGCCCCGTGGAAAGACCTATTATGGGCGGCCACGTAAAAGGCTCGTGTAACATCTCCCAACACTTTTATAAGGTGTCTAATAATATTCCTCTGATGTTCCTTCAGGAGAACTTTTGCATTACGCCTCTGAACGACCCATTTGTAGTAATACAAGTTGTGTTCTACATGGCTTCTGTCAAAATATACAAATGAATATTTATAGTAATACAAGTTGTGTTCTATATGGTTTCTGTCAGGAAAAAAAAAAAAAATCTATATGTATGAAATGTTGAAAACTAAGAAACTTTATGGTAGTAAATTGAAATTAACTCTTTAT